CCTCCCCATTGGCAATGGTTCTGAGGCATGTTTTTGATAAGTTGATAGGCTTCATCGTATGGCTTATGCATAAGTGCACCGCTTGCAGCGGCGTCTACCGTTAATCTGGTGTTATATAGAACCCCATTGTAGAAAGTATGGATCGTCACTCAGTCTTCCAAACCGTGGTGAGGACATGCTCTCATCATATCCTTAAACCTTTCCCATGCTTCATAGAGAGATTCAACATCTTTCTGATTTGAGCTCTAAGCATAGCAGTTTTGCTTGGCGGAAAGTATCTTGCTAAGAAAACGTTCTTCAACTGTTCCCACGTCGTAACGGAGTTGGATGGTAAGGATTGTAACCAAGTCCAAGCTCTATCTCTAAGAGAGAAAGGAAATAGACGAAGTCTTATTGCATCTGGAGTTACTCCATTTGCCTTCACTGTGTCCGCGTATTGCACAAACTTCGTTAAGTGTTCATTTGGATCCTCAGTAGCATTCCTTGAGAATTGATGTTGTTGTACAGCTGACAGCAATGACGGTTTCAGCTCGAAATCGTTCTGATTAATAGTGGGGGCAACAATGCTACTTCGAGGCTCCAGCTGAGATGGGGTAGCGTAGTCCTTCAACGGTTTGTTCTGAGGTCCTTCAGCCATCTTCAATTCTTCAACAGGAGTATGAGCTAGAAGATCAGGAATATTGTTTTTTCGTTGATATTCGAGGATGCGCCTTCTTAAGTGTAAGAAACGCTCTAGTTCGGCGATTGTAGGTTGTAAGATGTCGCCCTGTGAGCGAGTACTTGGCATACAACTGACGAACGAGTAGAGGGAGAGAGAATAGTTAACCTGGTCTATACTGTGTAACAAAGGATTACACTATTGACTAAACGGGTCCCCGACAATGGCACCAAAAACTTGATCGCGACTTTCTATGTCTAACCGAACTAACTGCAAGTACACAGTCTATCGCGTAGTAATAAAAGATATCGATCCCACAGGGACTCGTAATCAAGCTAGTATTCTCGGGTGTTACTATGTTTAGCTAGGTTGTTATGGTTTTAGGGGAATAAAAGCAAAAGAAGTGTGTATAATAAAAGGAAACTAAAAACGTTACTTAAGAGTGAATCGGTATGCAATATGTTGGTTCTTCAAGGATTCAACAAGTTACCGGCGTATTGGGTGTTTTCAAAAATAGTTTAAGAAGAAAATGACAGTTTAAAGACCTTTGTCTCACGATGGTTGTTGACGCTAGTCGTAACTCTAAGGCGGAACGTATGTTGTCGCTATCTCGTTCGGGGTTAAAATTACTTTTTGAAAACCATTAAGTTCTAATCCTTTTTAAAACGCTGTCGCTGTTTTTAAAACGAATGCTTAGTTTTTACTATCTGGTCCTAACCTCAGTTGTCGCTTGTTGGTTCATACCTTTATGAATTTCCCACTGTCGTGGCAAAACTACTTTTAAATAAGTTCTCGTTGTCGCGACGAACGTTTATTTAGAAAATCAATTTAAAAACTAAAGCCAGAAATAAGTTTGAAAAGGAAAGAATACACCGGTTATTATCGAATCCCATCTGACTACCTATTACATACCGATTACTTTAATTTAGCTAGACATGGAATATAAACTAATAACACGTAAACAATGGCAGGAAATATAAGCTTGCATCATAACGGAAAATAAAATTCAATTAACAATTATAATAAAAAATTGTAAGTAATTCAATTGGCCTTTGGGGAATCCTCCAAAATGTCGGCAGGATTTAGTCTTGGTACCAATATCTCGTACATAATAGAATTGAAAAGTACAAACAGAATTGCAAGGAAAGGAAAAGGGAACAATAAAGAAATCTGAAACTTAAATTCGCTATGAAAAATAACTTGGCAGCACTTCATGGTCTTGAATGCGACTCCCCTTTTCTGGTCTCAGCTTCCTCCTTTTATAGATGGAATTTCCAACGATTAGTTGCTTCAGGAAGTGGGATTGATGTTAGAAAAAGTAGGAGCTAGTGGTCCACTCCTTTTGGTCTTTGAGGGCACTTATAGCACATGCACGTTTTCTGCATTTTTTGTCTGCATGACGGTCGTCGTGGAATGTGACGGTCGTAATACGCATGACGGTCGTAATGGTCATGTGACGACCGTCATATCAGCAAAATCCGTATCTGTTGTTTTTCATCTGGTTTTCATTTGTAATTGCTTGTTTTCTTCAGCTTGCTCCATTTGAAACCAGTCGTAAATTAGTTAAAATGTATGTCATTATATATATACGATTTCGCGTTATCAATAATGCATCGGAATCTTTCGACACATCTCTCCACCACCATCAATCCTCAAAATCTTTAGCTTTCGACCACTATGTCTTTTGATCATAGATTTGAATTTAGCAAATACCTCAATCACATCACTTTTCTTCTTGATGAGGTAAGTCCATAGTTTTCGACTAAAATCATCTTTGAACGTGACAAAGTATCTGTTACCTCGAATCAAATCCACCTAGATATGACGACATACATCCGAGTATATGATTTCAAGAATTGCCTTTGGCTTGCTTTCTACATCCTTGCTAAAACTATTCTTGTGTTGTTTCACATGAACACATTCTTCACACACTTCACTTGGAATGTCGATTTTTGGTAATTCAGAAACCATTTTTTTTCTCTTCAAATCTCTGATGTCTTTGAAATTGAGATGACCAAGTCGATAATGTCATATCCATTCATCTTTGCTGGCTACAGTTGTAAGAAACTTATGCTCCATCACATTAAGTTTAATCTTAAAGGTTCTATTATGAGACATGAGATCCTTCAAGATTAACCTACCACCCGAGTCAAGAACTCTCATCATCTTGTCTTCGATCGACACCTTGTAGTTATTTTCAACTAACTGTCATGTGCTAAGAAAATTACTCATTGTGTCTGGTATGTACAATACATTGGAAATTACTAACCTCTTGCCATCTTCCCTCGTAATCAGAACATCACTAATACCTTCGATTTCTAGAGTATTGTCATTTGTAAATTTCACCATGTTCTTCATTGAGGGCTTTATGTTAACAAACCAATCTTTCCTACCAGTCATGTGTGATGGGAATCCTGAGTCCAAGCACCATTGGTCCTGAAATCTTTCTTCATCTCTTGTTGTGGCCATCAGCAACATCTCTGCTACTTTATGTTTCGTCAGCTTTGAATCAATTTCTTGATTCTTCTTCTTTTCTGGACAATCACTAAAATAATGACCATACTTCTGAAGTTGTAACACTGAATGTAACTTTTGTCAGGTTTTCAACACCAACTATTTCTCTACCTACAATACCACCTCTTTGGTTGCCTTGGTTATATGGTTTTCTCTGATTTGACCAGTTTTCTTCATGCTAATTTCGACCATTCGAATTGTTGTAGCCTCTTCTGGCTTTGTTGCCATTCCAACTTCCCTTTTCTTTCTTTTCCTTTTTTGACTGCGCCTGCAAAGCCATATCATTCTTCGACTTTTCTGCAACTCTTTCAGCCATCATTTGTTCATGAGACTCAAGTGTCCCTTAAAGCTCTTTCTTTGTCAATGCTGATAAGTCTTTCGACTCTTCTATGGCTACTACCACATAGTCGAACTTTGGAGCCAATGACCTCAAGATCTTTGCAACAACTGATCTTGATGTCAACATTTCTCTACATACCTTGATTTGATTCGCCAATTTAGTAACCCTAGTGAAGAAATCAATTATGCTTTCACTTTCTTCCATCTGAAGCAATTCATACGTCCTTTTTGTGAGTTTGTAACCTCACCTCTTTCAGCTTCTCTGCGCCTCCAAACGATTTCTCCAAGATTTCCCATGTTTCTTTCGTTGATTCTACATCACTAACATTTTCAAAGATCTCGATAACAAAAAACCACATTTATCTGCTTGCACAAATTCTCATAAATATTGTTCTTGGGAATTAGAAGGTTCGCCGGAAAATGTCTGTTTGGGTGATTCAGCACCATCGTAATTTTCTTCCCTCAAATCACAACCGGAGCTCTAGATACTAGATGTTGAAATTAATCCAAAACCTTTTAAGAATTCCTAATCAATCTTGATGAATAATATTCAATCAACCTGATCAAAACCCTTAATTTCAAAAAAGATTATACGCAACAACTGTTAATGAAAAATGAAAAAAGAAAGAATTTAACAAAATTAAAGGAGGAAAATAATGATTTCAACTGCAGAATTTCCGCGCACAAACTGTGAAAAATCTTCTTTTATTCGCTTTGCAACTGCAAACTTCTGTGAATACTATTTATTACAAAATATGAGTTACTCCCTCTATTTATAATAGAAGAAAGCACAAAATTACAAAAGACCAAAATTACTAATTTTGGTATAAGTCAAAATTCTGTGTCTAGCAACCTGCTTCGACACTTCGACATATAACTTACTCGACATACACACACATTAGATTAATTCGACTAATTCTTGTTTCTGTCAAGCTACACTGTTTCGAAACAAGGAATTACAATTTTAACAATTAGGACTCAACCCTATCCTACAAACCATTTCCTCAAAACCTACCCTTTCATTAAGTGATTGTTCACCTTTTAGATTTACCATTTTACCAATCCTTTTTTAGAAAAAAAAAAACTGAACCGCAATCAATCGTTAATTAGTCCAATGATAATTGATGTTGAATTTGATAGAAATGACTGTGATCCGATCCCTCACAACTATAATTAAAATTGAAAGAGAGTTAATCACTTGATGTCATAACGAATCCACTGATCAAATTTAGTGGTCCAACTTGGAAAAAAAAAAACTAAACCGCACCAACTAAAGAATTAAGGAAAGGCCTAACCTCACTTCCTAAACTCGATTAAGGAGATTAAAATAACTAACTTATCACAAACGACACAAAACAGTACAATTGAAAATCACACTTTCCTCTCGAAACAGAAACAAAAACCCTAACGGAAGACACTCTTCAAAGACCAAGCAAACGATGAGACATGGATTTGATGATGACTGATTACAAGGTGGAGATGATCAACGATGCCATGCAAGAGTTCTTTCTGGAATTTCATCAACCTAAAACACAGTAATTTCTTTTTTTGCATTTCTCGTTTCCATTTTCTTTCCCTTTTTGTCTCATCATTGAATGCAGTTTTTCTTTGGGTTATTTTTTCCTTTACTGCTGTTGACTGTATGTGGTTGAATTCAATGTGAGGTTTTATGTGTTTGGATTATGAGGGTCTTGTAGTTGTGCTTCAATTTTGTAGCTTAATTCTTTGATCATTTTCCCCAACGAGAATAAATTGCATTAGGATCTATTACTGGTTTTTATGTTTATTTTTTAAATGTGTGCAAGTTGCAGAACATTAAAAAGTAAATGAGACTGAAATAAACATGAATGTGTGCATTTTGTTGTAACATTGAAGGTGGAACAGAAGTAGGTTTATCTTCTTCTGTTTTTTCACTCACTTTTATTGGGACTCATTGCAGATCCTTATCAAGAAGGTGTGTGGAAGATAAGAGTGGAGCTACCTGATGCTTATCCTTATAAGTCTCCTTCTATTGATTTTGTCAGCAAAATTTACCATCCTAATGTTGATGAAATGTGAGTTGCTCATAGCAATTAAAGCTTATTTGTTTTCTAAGGGACATTGAATGAGTTTTAAGAAGGAAGTTCAGGGTTCGAATCCTGGAGAGTAACATTACATAACTACTAACTTAATGACATTTTCCTATCTAGAAAAAGGCTTCATTGTTTTCTATTGTATTTTAGCAGCACCATTATTCTCCATGGAACTTATATTGGCTGTTGTGGCTCGCACAAGAATTGCTAGACTCAACTGCTGATCAAAATGCTTTTCTCTGATATTCAGGTTTAGTTCAGTTCTATGTTATCAAACTCGACTGTTTCGGCCGTTATCTTGGCACAGGATGACACAACCAAGAAAACTGCACCAAGCCGTGTTGTTTTGGCAAATATGGGTGACTCGGCTGGAATAACCGCGATAATGAGATTAGATTCGGAATGACGCCGCTCCGTCCGCATATGCCGTATACAATATTACCCTGAACCATTTAAGGATGGCAAGGTTATTTTATTGAATTTAATGGCATTTGCAAGTCTGTTTTGCTTACGACTCAAGGCTTTTAATTCTAAGTATGAATACTTCGTGAATTTTGAGTAATTTATTTTAGTTTTTAACAATTATGTGTTTATTAGTATTCATTATATTAGTGTCCGTGTCACTAAAATAACGTCCGTTCCTCTCCCCATTCCGGTTCCGCTCCATTTTTTGGGGATGGCCGCACCACTATTTGAGATTGATAACATAGGTTCAATTTGCTTAGGCCTTAGACGTTATTAACCAGACTTGGAGTCCAATGTTTGGTAAGCATTGTTAACAACCTATAGTACCTCACATATATTGATAGTAAGGAATATTACTTCAAATACACTTACTATGCATTTAATTCAATCTTGTTTGATTGTTAGTTTTGCCACCTTACATTTTTCCTATTTTCATTCAGATGTTGTCAATGTGTTTGAAGTGTTTCTTCCTCAACTTCTTATAGACCCTAGTGCATCAGATCCATTAAGTGGTGATGCTGCTGCCTTGATGATGTGAGACCGTGCTGCATATGAATAAAAAGTCAAAGGTAGTAATCCTTGTTAAATTTATAGTATGAAGCTTTAATGTCTATTATATGTCTAGATAATCAATTTTAAAAGTATGAGAATTTCTTCATTATAGTTGGACCACAAGTAGTCGTTTTTAATCTAATTTCAATTGGATTGAAATGTCACCGATTGGTAAATAAAAAGATTTGAAGGCTCAAGATTGTGCAAAATGAATAATGTTCCATTTCAAATGCATCAACACCTCATAAATAATAGATCAACTCTCACTCCATAAACCAATAGAGTTTGAATGTCTTATGTTCTCACTTGCCCATACACATGTCAGCTGCATCCACATACTTATCCTAGTTTTATGTGCTATAAGCTTTCAGGTTTGTATTCATATTGGGAGCTAGAGCATTGTTTTCTTCTTTTTGGGTTGCTAATAGAAAATTATATTTCTCAATTTTTTGACGTGGATCAGTCTTTAATTTATGCAATCATGGATAGTGTAGAAAAAACAACAACCAATCCTCTTCCTACGAGGTAGAGTCGGCTATATGAATCAATTAATGCCATGAAGTCATGTCATGTATTGACACATAGTTTAAATCATGTTGAGTGTATTTATAATTTTCTTTATCAAATAGAAGTTTGATTTATAGTTGAACAAATTGGAGTAGGCTTTATCGAACTTGACAAATATGGACCCGGGCCCTCTAATTAATAACCCTAGTCATTTATTAGCATCATAAATTAGAAACCCTATTAGTTTATAAGCATCTTAAATTGAAACCCTAATCATATATTAGAATCATAAAGTGAAAAGTTGGTCGTTTTTTTTATGCCGAAAAAATTGACAATCACTGACTAGTTCAGTTACCAAGAACTATTGTGACGAGTTCTTTGAGGGAAAAGAGACTTCATGTATTTTGAACATGAAAAGAAACAATTTTAATTTAGAGATTAGATACGACAAGTCTTTAAAAAAATGATGTTTTAAAAATATTATTAACTTAAGATTTATATATATCTCACGTGCATGCATATTACCCAGGCATACATATTGTCCACGAATTGCGTGGATCTTACTTATTGGTAGGACTGTTTAACTCGTCATTTTTTGGTGGGGTGATTGAGATTTTGAACATGTCACTACTAGTTGCGGCCTGCCCCCTAACCTACCAAAAATATGACAGGGAAGAGAGACGGGGCAGGCTGACCTTGTGTTTAAACAATGTATCTGGAATATATATATATATATATATATATATATATATATATATATATATATATATATATATATATATATATATATATATATATATATATATATATATATATATATATATATATATATACCAAATATTCTGGTTCTATTTATATAAAAAAATTACTTTTTAAATTCATTGAATAAACAATGTATCTGGAATATATATATATATATATTCATTGAAAAATATATATATATATATATATATATATATATATATATATATATATATATATATGTATGTATGTATGTATATATATATATATATATATATATATATATATATATATATATGTATGTATGTATGTATATATATATATATATATATATATATATATATATATATATATATATATATATATATATATATATATATATATATATAGACCAAATACTTTAATTATTCAATGAATCTAAAAAATAATTTTTTTTTATATAAATATGAGTAGATGGAGTAGTTTATATATATCAAACAAATAATAGTGTGTATATATACTAATATGTATGTCCCCTTCAATCCGTCCCTAATGCCTCATCAAATCAGATCATACTTTATTATCATTGAAAAATATTATCGACTGCTCCCTCCATAACGATTTATAATTAAAAAAACTCATATTTTTTTATTACAAATCATAAGGAAAAAAATCAATTTAATTTTATTTAAGCATTTTATTCTAAAAGTGTATCTTTTCCAGAGTAAAATTAAATGCAATTTGCATTTAATTTGCTTCCTCTCTCATTTTTTCCATAAGCTACATCCAATTGAAAATGTTTTTACATTTTTCCAGGAAAAATCTTGCAAGCTTAGTCATTATATTTGCGTTGTTTTTCTCATCCTTTTGAACGATGCCTCAAATTCAGCTCGCTTTTTTCATTTGTAGCATTGAAATTTAACAGCAGCACCAGTTAGTACCACCAGCGCCGCTCTCAATTATCAATCATTTTCAGGTTTCAGCTTCGATCTAGATCTTGTAATGTAATTGTGTCTATTTCTTCTCACCTTCCTGAAATCCTTCATCTCATTATTGCTACTGCCATTTCTGTGATGTATTAGTTTTCATTTAGTGGTCTTGATCATTAAATAAATCTGCTCATAAAGTACCAAATAGTCACAATCCTTCATACCCCTTTTTCACTGTAAAGTCTTGTTCTGCATTTCTATCATCAACATATACAAAAGGGCAAAGCTAGAACTTCATTTTGTTGTTTGTTTTTGCCTCATTTGTTTTTTAGATCAAACTCAACGTATCAAACATAGAAGTAGAGACTAGAGAATCAAAAGTCATGTCAAATGGGTCTTCTCTTGATCGCCTTGAAGCTGAAACGTTTACTAATTTTCATGGAAACAGCAGTTGTCTTGTTGGGGATCGCGTGAATAGCACTGAGATTGACAAAACTAAACAAAAATCTTTGTTTTGTCAATTTTTTCCGGTTTACCTAAAGGAGAATTGTAGTAGAGGCAATGCGAGGCCTGTGCCGGTGATGCTCGGTGACGGTCAATTGCTTGATTTATACCATCTTTTTTCCCTTGTGAAGAAACATGGTGGGCATGATGGGGTATCAAGAAAAGGGTTGTGGGATTCTGTCATAGTTGAACTGGGTTTGGACCTTCATGTTTTGGCTCTGGTAAAATTAGTTTACGAAAAATATCTAAGTGGTTTTGAAGGCTGGCTCAGCAATGCTTTTAATGGTGATGCTGCCTCTTGCGTGGAACTTTCTACGGAAGCATTTCATTCTCGCAAACATGAAGGAGAATCATCCTCCGAAATGGTGACCTGGACGAGTCATATTGCAAAACATCTGTTTGATCCTGCTGTTAAACTGTTGCCAGAACCTTCAAAGTGGAAAGAAAGAGACATTCACTTGGTGAGAGAACATGCAGAACCGAACCGTGGATCATATTCCCAGGTATAACTTCAATGGATATAATGACTTTATACATGATTTTAATCATTGGATTTTTTTGTGTTGTTTCATATCCTGAACCAGAATGTTTTCACATGAATGGCTAGTTATCTTTTTATTGTATTATTATTATTATTATTTTTTGGTTTTTCACCATCAGTATCCGGCCCACTGGACCGACTAATCCGGTTTGGGGGTGAGGTCTGGCATCAAGTGGTTCCAGCCCCTTCCCAATCGTAGTTGCGGTATTGTATTTATGATTAGCAATACAATGTACTCAATCTGTCCATGTAATAAATATATACTTGCAATCTATCGGTTTATTTCCTAAAAGAATATACACACATTCCGAAATCTCAGGTTGCTAACTGCTAAATATCAACAAAGGTTAATGCAATAATAGTGTAGTGTAATCGGATAGATTTTTTTGGCGATGTCTACTCGGAATTACATCTATGACCTAGGCACTTCATACTAAGAAAGATATCATGGTCAACCATTAAAAATATTTGTCTTTAATAATCAACGTGTGAGAAAAAAATCATTTGCATTATAAAATTTCCATTAAGAACTGTAACTGCATTATTGAGCCTGATTATTAGTATCCTACGAAACATGCGAGTCATATATCAATCTTCCCAATCAATACCAATTTATGCTTGTATCTACATGTTGGATAGAGATCACAAATATGAATCTGCATTCATATTCTGTTGCAGCACAGCCTTGACACGGACTGAGTCGTGCAACCTGGACTCAGCTGAAATCAAGTATTCCAAATAACCCAAATTTGAATCACCATTGAACAGCTCTAGCACACTCTGCTTTTGGCCCCGTCTCACTTCCTTTATTCTTTTTCTCTCTTTACTTTGTCACTTATTTTTATTGATCATATACCCTGTGATTTATAATCAGATTCAATTCATAATTTGGGAAATAGTTCTTCTGAACTCATGATCTGAATCTTGGTTCGATAACCATGTCATTGAGCTTCCTCCAAAGAGATTGTACCTTTTTGTCAATTGGTGGTCATAGGTTATAGTCATGGAAACAACCTTTACACCTATAAGACAAGGTCGCATACTCCGAGTTAACCCTAAAATGAACTGCAGTTGACCTTGACCTGTTTATCTGTTAACCTCTTCAACTTGAACTGGGTAACCTAAATTTGAACTGCAAGATTTTCTATTCACACACCATCAGAGAGAGATACTATTAAAATTCACTTAAAAACTTTTTTTAAACAAATTACAAAATTTAATGAAGAGAAAAGTTAAATCAATAATTTTACTCTTGATACACACTTAAAATGTCTTAAAGGTTGTTTTCTGTGGTCAAATATAGTTTTGGTGGTGTTGTGGTAGTATAGGAGAGTTTGAATTGGTGGAGAAAGGTATATTAGTCATAAGGAGATTGGGAATTAAGGGAAAAATAGGGGTTGTTGTAATGGAGCTTGTTGGGAACCCAACAAAGCACAAGCAGAAATAGTATGAAATAATGCAGCAAACACACATCAGAATGGTTGTTTTATTAATTGATGAAAAAGTGGAATAACAGAGAGGGAAATGACCCTAGATCTGACACAGAACAAGCTCCTATAGGTGGCTAGAGCCTCCTATTCATGACTAACCAACAAAATATCTTCCAAGGTAATCCTCTCAACCTCTCAATCGTTCTTCTATATTAAGGAATAGTACAATCATTCTCTCTTTGCACACTCTAAAAGAATTACTGCACTTTCCCCCTTTTGCCCCTTCTAGAATAAACTCTCCATATCTTGGGCCCATTGGGCTGATGATAAACCATAGCCTCATTTGTCTCATTCCCCCTCACGCGGTCTCTATCAATACTCCCTTCTGAAACTTCAACCTTATTCTCAAGGTGAAATGTCGGAAATTGACTTCTAATTGTCACAGCATCTTCTCAAGTTGCTTCATTTGCTGTCTGACCCTTCCATTGTACTAACCACTGTTGCACTTCTTCGCCTTGTTTCGTAACCTTCCTAGATACCAACACCTTGTCAGGCTCTGGTATATCTGGTTCTTCACCTTCCAACTGGTCAGGCAAGTTCTCTTTACCCTAATAATTTCTTACAGTTTTCTTAAGCAAAGACACATGAAAAACGAGGTGGATTTTTGACCCCTCAGGTAGCTTTAGCTTGTATGCTACAACACCAACTCTGTCAATCACCGGGTATGGGCCAAAATATCGTGTTGCTAACTTGGCATGAATATGAGAAACCACAGACTGTTGTCTATGTGCCCTCAGTTTAACAAACACCCATTCTCCAATCATAAAGGATTTCTCTACTCTGTTAGCATCTGCCTGTGCTTTCATTCTGCTCTGCGCCTTTAGCAACTGATCTCGCAATGGCGCAATGCCTGATCTCTGTCCTGTAACTCTCTTGAAACAGCTTCAACACGTGTCTCGCCAATACCCCAACAAACCAAACCAGGTGCTTGCCTTCCATATACAACCTCAAAAGGGGTCTGATGGGTTGCAGAATGGTAAGTGGTATTGAACTAGTATTCTGCCCATGAAATCCAATTCATCCACACCTTGGGTTGATCGGCAGCAAAACAACGAAGATAGGTTTCGAGACAACGATTAACTACCTCGGTCTGTCCATCCGTCTGGGATGGTAGGCTGAACTAAACTTCAAATGTGTACCCTGTAATTTGAAGAGCTCTCTCCAAAAATGACTCATGAATATAGGATCCCGATCGCTCACAATTGACATTAGGGATACCGTGCAGCCTTACAATTTCTTTGACAAATATCTCAACAAGACTTCTGGCCCTGTAAGGATGTTTGAGAGGCACAAAATGGGAGTACTTAGATAATCTGTCTACTACCACCATCACAGCTGCATCACCTTTGGATTTCGGCAAACCGGTTATGAAGTCCATTGATAAGTCTTTCCACACATTCATTGGGACTGGTAGTGGCTGAAGAAGACCTCCTGGAGATGCTGCTACATATTTATGTCTCTGACAAGTATCACACCCTTTTACAAATTCCTGGACAGTATTCTTCATTCCAGGCCAATATACATTAGCAGCTATTCTTCTGTAAGTTCTCAAGAAACCTGAGTGCCCTCCCTGAAGTGAACTATGAAATTCCTGCAGCATTCTAGGAATCAGCACTGACTGTGGTGACATAACTAACCTCTCTTTGTATAACAACGTGCCTTGTTGTATATGGAACTCATGATGTGTTGTAGGTTTAGGATCCACAGATAAATCCTGCCAAATTTTTCTTAGCTTCTCATCATCATGTATCTCTTGATGCACCTGTTGAAACTCTTCCCAAAATGGATAGGACACAAAATTATTGAATTCACTTTCCTCTTGAATTCGGGATAACGCATCTGCTCCTTGATTGAATCGCCCAGGCTTGTAGCGGATGTCAAAATTGAAACCAACAACTTAACTACCTAGTTTTGTTGCTCATCAGTAATGATTTTTTGTTGTAACAAATCCTTAAGACTCCTTTGATCAGTCAACACCACAAATTTTCTTCCCAATAAGTAGGATCTCCAATGTTGGATAGCTAAAACACAAGCCATCAATTCGTTCTCATATGCTGATTTGGCCAAGTTCCTCACACCTAAAGCCTTACTAAAGTAAGCAATAGGATTTTTATCTTGCCTCAAAATAGCCCCAACGCCAATTCCAGATGCATCACACTCAATAACAAATTCTTTCTCAAAATTAGGCAAAGCTAACATTCGGTGCTTCTATCAATTTCTTCTTCAACAATTCAAAAGCCTGTTGTGCCTCTCGTCCCCATCCAAACGCATCCTTCTTGGTCAATTCAGTTAAAGGCTTGGCTATTTTTCCATAATCGCGAATGAATTTTCTATAATAGCCCGTTAATCCCAAAAATCCTCTTATCCCTTTTACATTCTTTGGTATAGGCCACTGCACCACGCTACTGTACTTGTTGGGATCCACATCAACTCCTTCTTCAGATATCATGTGCCCTAAGTATTCTATCTTACTTTGTACTTGCCCTAAGTATTCTATCTTACTTTGTACTTGTTGGGATCCACATCAACTCCTTCTTCAGATATCATGTGCCCTAAGTATTCTATCTTACTTTGTCCAAAGTGGCATTTCTTCCTATTAGCCTTTAGACCATGTGTTTGCAGGATCTGAAAAACTTGACCCAACTGATTCATATGCTGCTGCCAGTTTTGGCTATAGATTAAAATGTCATCAAAAAATACCAACACCCTTTTTCTCAACATCGGTCTAAACACTTCATTCATAAGCCCTTGAAAAGTTGATGGAGCATTCATAAGTCCGAACGGCATAACTAAAAACTCATAATGCCCTTCGTGTGTTCGGAACGCCGTCTTGTGCACATCCTCACTCCTTACTCTAACTTAGTGATACCCGGATTTTAAATCCAATTTGGAGAAATATCGTGTGCCATGTAATTCTCTAACAACTCTTCAATCACCGGAATTGGGAATTTATCCGGAATGGTCACCTTGTTAAAAGCACGATAGTCGACACACATACTCCATGTGTGATCCTTCTTCTTCACAAGTATGACGGGGCTGGAATAGGCATTTGAGTTGTGTCTAATGATTCCGGTTTGCACCATCTCTTGAATTTGTCTCTATTTCATTTTTATGAAGGTGGGGGTAGCGATAAGGTCTTACATTGACGAGACCTTCTCCTTCACGAATATTAATTGTATGTTCCCTCCCCCGTTTAGGAGGTAACCCGACCACCTCTTGAAACACACTGTCATAGTGTTTCAACACCTTCTGTAACTCTTTTTGTTGCTCTAAAGACAATGAAGCTTCTGTCACGTTTTGTTGGCTCTTGTCAATGGACCACAATACTCCTTCATTCTTGCCTCTACTTCTGCTCAACAAGCTTTGTAATGTTTCCTCCCTCTCAACCTTACTCCTTAGCCTTTGCAGTGTAACCGACTTTCCCCCACTCCAAAAAATGCATAGTCAGTTTGTTCCAGTTTACGATAGTATC